CACACACACACACACACACACACACACACATGCACCCACTGACCAAATCCTACACACACACAGAAGTTCAGAGTCAATAACTTCTTAATGCTTCCACAGTAAAAATTTAATTAGCTTTTGAAGAAAGTTGTCCTAAACATTAATGTGCATTTACTGTGTACACATATTTTTCAGCATTTCGATGCTGAAATATTTCAGCTGTGGTACAGATTGCTGTTTTTTCCCCTCATGTTTGAACAAAAATCTTTGTGCTTTTTTTCCCTCTCTATATTATCTGTAAGGATACGCAAAAAGTCCACAGCTTGTATGTTAGTGATGCATGCTTTAGTGCTTAGTGTGTTTTTGATGGGAGTCATGCTCATGGGGTTAGCTGCTTCAGCAGCCAAGCATACTGCATAAACAGCCTCTGTCTGTCTGTCTGCCTTTCTTTTTGTCTCAAAGCCAGTCTTCTTTTCATTTTTTGTTATCTTCAGAAACACTCAGACACTTTTCATGAGCAATCTTACTGACATACTTTACTGTAAATGTCAGCATGTATCTTGAGCATATTCCACTGAGGATTAAGTTTGTGCAACACATTATTTCTCAGCTGCAAGGCAGTTGTCACTATTGGAATTTGAAACCTGAAATCAAGAGTAAATCTGCAAGCTAATATGTACACAGATTTTTGTTTTTGTCAGTTCTGCTGCACTAGATTTGAAAAGACATGATTTATAAGACTTGGGCCAGGATCGATTCAGTCTGCTAAGTTATGAACATAAGCAGAGGATCTCAGCAAATTAGTAGCCACACTCCTGTTTTTGTGTATTATCAAAACCTACAGATGGGGGTACCAAATGTTCAGTAAAGCTGATCACAAATACATAATATACACAAATGATACACAAATCAGTATCATTGTATAGTCATTGTTTTTGTTTTTAGTAAATGGAACATATTGTTTGTTGAGGAATCAAATATTTAAGGAAAGTGTTCCTTCCTGCCTGGTCACATGCTGAATTCGTCATCTGAACTGCAATGAAATAAATGTTGCCTTTCTTTGTATTCTGTTTCTTCCCTGTTTCTCTGTTGCATTTTTTGCTCCATTTGCAGGCTCCGCCAGGGTTGAAGAAGAATCTCCTGAGAACATATGAGTCCTGGACTCCAGAGCAAATCAGCAAAGGTTTTCTTCTTTTTCTTCTCACATCAATAAACCCCAAAAAGATCTGAAGTATTTTACTTTGATGTAATTGATTTGTTCCTTTGCAACTTTGTCAGTAAATGCAGTGCATTATTTTAGGCTTGTGAGTTAAAATACCAAGTAGTTACAGAAAATAACTATGCAGATATTCCTCTGTTTTTTCCACTTTATTCTTTGATAATTTGAAGATCAAAATAACTTTGCTAAAACTTTACAGAACACTGAAAATAATAGCAAATAATTATAGTGAAAATGGCAGGGCATTGTTATTTTGGTCATGACATGTTGATGACTGTTTGTGTGTAGGAGGCGATCTGGTTAGAGCCCAATCTCTGTTTTGCCTGGCGTGGTTTCATGCTGTCTGTCAGGAGAGAAGAAACTATATTCCACAGGTAGTATACACAGACCCCTCTGTTCTTATTCTGCAATCCCATCTGAAAACCCTAAACTCAGCATTCGAAGAGCAATGTGTCATGAAATGCTTTCAAACAAGTGGGGATTAATAAAGAAAACAAAAACAGGAAAAAAATAGTGAAAATTTAAAACTGATTTTTCTTGCTTGAGATTGAACATTTCATATAAAAAATAGTAAAATGACATTGCTTCTTGCAGGGCAATGAGTGCCAATGGCTATTAACATCAAATCTTTTTAGCAGTTTTTACTAATTAAACCTTAACAAAAATTTAGAAGGACTCACCTATAGAGGACATTATTTCATTGGCATTTTCAGTTCAAATGGTTTCACAACTGCTGCAAACTAAATTTGTATTCATATGCAAATATGCATGTGAAATCCAAGCTGACTAATCCACACATGGTTTCCCCAAGGACACTAGAGTAAAAAAAAATCACCCCCCCAGAGATCAGTGTCTTTGTCCTTACTGACCACCACAGCATTTTTTTTCTACATTTTGTGCCTTGCCTATGGCTTTTGTAAATGCAAGGGTGTGTGTTTGTCCTTGTATATGAAAATGTGAATATTAGCCTTTGCAGAAAACCAGCCTGCTGGCCAACAGCACCCATTTTGTAGGGCTTTAGAGCAGTCAGTTGACCTGATATTTTCCATGCATGCTGTTAGCAGACGAATGGTTTTGCTGTGTCTAAAGCAACTGAAGTAATGATTTACTCACTGAGTTGGCAGACAATGGAAATAAAGGAAAGGCAACTTTTCTTATGCCATATTTGAAGTTGATAAGGGATGTTTTACATTTATAATAAAAATTACATTATTCTCAAGAATAATACCTTAAAGTTAAAGTAGCAGTGTGTAGCATTTAGTGACATCTGATGGAGTATAGGACATTACCAAGAAACCCAAGCTCACTCTTACTCTGGATTTTTCATAGCAACAACTGCTCTAACTGTTCAGATATACCACTTTAATCTTCACCCTCACTTGTTTATATTGAGGTAAATCTGTAAGCACAGGAATATTTTTCTCTTATGCTGTCTCCTCCTTTCAACATTTTCAAACATATAATATTTAAGAACAAGACTCATTGGTAAAATCTAAATTTGCAAACCAAATCTATAGTCGCTGTACTTTAAGTCACTAAATAAAAACTGTTTGCTCATGTGACTCATCTGCCAAAGCTTGGCTGGATAGTTTGTTGTGTTTTGTGGGTCAAGGAATGGCTCAAAACACGTAACATATGGAGTTTAGTCTAGGGTTGGGCAAAATTGTATCATGTTCAATTAATCATCAGAAATACTGTCAACAAAGAATATTTGCCACTTTGCAGTTACTGCAATAAATGCTATGTATTCTTGTGTGCAACACACTGTCAGGCATGCATGTGAGCCCAATGGTAGAATTAGTGCAGAACAACTAATGCTGACCCTAACCCTATAAACTTTTTTAATCATTTGAAACACCGACATAAAATGGAGTACAATGAAAGACAGAAAGTGCGGACCAAGGCCACAATGTCGGCTACATGCAAGTGCAGTTATCACCCATTAATTGTTGTATTAATCTGTATTGGCTAAATGCCATGATTAATTGGGATTTGGTTTTTAATTTTGAAATTTTTTTGGCTAATATCACCCAACCCTAGGCCAGACCATGAGGACATCTTAAACACATTTTCAATAGAAGAAATACTCACAAATAAAGCCAAAGCGATTTGGGAGCCCCTGCCAAAACAAACAAAAGAGGGAGAAAGTCTCAAACCTGCCAAGCAATTGACTGTCAGATTCAGGCCTCTCCCTTAAACCTGTGATTCCCAAACCCAAAAACATGTCTGCCAGTCATTTTCAAACCCAACTATTACCCATTAAAAACTATGATGAACAAAGATGACATGGCACAAGAGGGATGAAACATAAAAAAGAGTGGAGAAGACAACCAGAAGTCAACGTGCCAACTGCAGTTTCCAGTCTTCGCTCTCTCTCTTAAACTGGAGGGAGGTTTATCCTTTTAAAGATTTATTTTAAAGAAGTTTGTTCCTTTTAAAGAGGACAGATTAATTGAGCAAACAGTACATTCATAAGGGGGAAAGGGTCGAGTAACAGAGTTATAGTGTTTGGTTTAGCCTGTTTTAGATTGACCTTCACTCTGACATCCTCTCTAGAGTTTGGGTCTGATGCACTCAGTCCCTTTCCAACATTTTTTATTATCTTGTTTAATAAATGTCTGTGCTTTAATTTAACAATAAAAACAAGCAGATCAAACTAATTTAGTTCACCACTGTATCTGCACTCTTTGCTATCAACACAACAGTTCATATAGGAATATTATTTTCACTTAACATCAATATTTGTATTTCCAATTTAGTCTTGTATTTTGTTTTTGTATTTTTTTATTGTATTCCAAAAACATGATTCCCCAATTAAAGACACAGACTCATTCCCTTTTCTTTTCATCTGGCATCTCATTGTTGTCCTCTGTATGTCTGCTTTGAAGACCCATTATTTAAATAAAGATTCACAGTAACAGAGACACGAAGTGAGCAAAAGAAAAGAAGAAATAAAATGAAAGCAGAGGGACAAGGACATGATATTTGTTCCAGTTTAGCATCTTTTTTCCCCCTACCTGGCATTTTTTGTGTGATCTGGTCAATAAACAAACATTACAGAAACCATAATTCTACCGCAGAGCGAACCTTATGTGCACAAATGTCATATACATACACATGAGTTCAGTCTCCAGTCTCACATGTGAGACACGTTTAATGGGATGCACCTGAATTCAACCCCACCGCTGTGAACCAATACAAACACGAACACAAAAGCACCGAACAAACAACATACACTTAATCATTCAAAGAATTATTAAACATGCCCACGCAGTTTTCCTCTGCCGCCTCCACCACCGACAGCATCAGTGGGCAGATTACAACTGCTGATTGAATAGCAGTGAAGTGCAACAAACACATACTCAGAGTCTGAGACAGCCCTCGCACTCAATTACACTTTAACACCTCTGTGGTTTCTCTCAGATGACGAGTGCTGTGATATTGTATATGTGCTTGCCTAAGCATGTGTCCTTTTGTTCATGCGTGTGCATAAGCGTTGTCTGATTATAGCAGTTGTGTTTTAGTTTGTTTCTTAAACATACCATAAAGCTCACGCTCAAACGCCTTGATTTTCTGTGCTTCGGGGAATGCACTCGGGGGCAGTCTTTGTGCAAATATTATGCTAATCTTGCAACGTTGGGTTTTGCTCTTTATGTGATGATTAATGGGGGGATTTACTTTACTCAGCAGCTACTGAAGATTTTCTGTTCTTTGGTTTTAAGAGTTTTGTTTGGACTGTATTGTGGACATTTCTCCTTCTGAACATAGTAATTCAAAGTAACAAAGTTATGTTTGTCTGGAAAAGCTAAACCTTCAAATAATTTATAAAATATAAGTTTTATAAAATCATTTTTGACATTTTTGATACAAATTAAACATTAATCTTTAATACAGTACAGCTTTAATAATGTCATTCTGTTTCATTTTTAGGGCTGGACAAAGTTTTATGAGTTTTCCCTGTCAGACCTCCGTGCTGCTTTTGAGATCATTGACAGGCTGTTTGGAGGTAAGAGAGTTAATTAATAACAGTATCTGGAAAAACTCAGCATAATTTGGAGGAACACTTGTTAATGGCCACTGGAACGTGTGAGGAAAGATTAGTTACATCCTAAATTTTCAAACCACTCATGATGAAGTCATGAAAAAATCTTGATTTCAGTACATGTAATTTTAGTTCTCATGCTAGAGAGATAATTATTTGAAAGACAGGAATTGTTTCAGCAAGAAGACTAGTGCTAGCTTCTTTTAATTTGAACTGAAGTGCAGCACTACTCTTAACATTCTGGACCTGATTTTGAAAGTTTTGTGCTTTTTATATTTGAAATCCAACATTTGCTGTGCAATACAGTGGCTGAATAAATCACCAAGTGTGCACTGTTCCAGTAAATGAAGTGTTCACTTCATTTATCAAAAAGATGTCTTCCTTTCGCTGATTGCACTAACTGGACATGTGTACTCCTGCCTATTTGCATGTGTTTATTGTATGTTTTTGTATGTCCAAGGTGGTAAAGTTTTCCAGTGGGAGTTTGTCCACGGCCTGTTGGAGAACGCCATCTATGGAGGACGAATTGATAACCCCTCTGATCTTCGGATCCTGCGCTCCTACCTCGAGCAGTTCTTCTCCGCACGTCTCCTGTCAGCCTCCTCGGCTGGACAGAGGAAGAGTAAAGGAGGCACTCGCATTTTCCCCTCTCAGATCAGCCTTCCAAACTCTTGCTCCATATTGGTATGTGTTTTTTTTTTTTGGAAAGACAGTTATTGATACACACAGATGGCAAATTAAAAAAAAAGTTGCAGCCAAAAAGCTTTATGAGTGACTAAAGAGATTAAACCATGAAATGAGAAAATGATTTCTGCTTTAAAACTATGTAAAGGTCAAACTTGTATTTACAGCAGTGGCAAACAAATGAAAAACATAAATAAAATGCTAATTTAATCTTTAAGTTGATATTGTTTTAGCTACATTTTAGGGAAAAACTAATCAACAACAAAGTAGTGCCATGACTTGCTTTTAAGTCTTTATTAGTTTAAAGATTTTGCATTTTATTATATTAATTTTTAGTGCTGTCTGTAGTGTAGTGACCAAAGTCAATAATACTATATGTTTTAGTTGTAACTCTTTTTTTGGCCATTTAAGTTTGGGAAAAGTTCATTCTACAGAAAATGTATTGAAACTTTACAAACAGCACACTCAGGTAAGCTTAGTAAATATTTTATAGAATACATATATTTATTTTCTCACAGTGATGAAGCAAAGGTATCACAAGGTTTAACTTAAATTCATTTACTTCGAGAGTTTCTTGCTTAAACAGTCACATAACTATTATTATAACCTAAATATGAAGCTTTTTTTCATCTCGCCTGTACATGTTTAAAGAGTATGTGTGTGTGACATGTGTGAGTCTGTTCCTCCTCCCAGGACTACCGCAGTGTCATAGAGAATCTCCCAGAGGATGACAGGCCTGCATTCTTTGGTCTGCCTGCCAACATAGAAAGATCCTCCCAGAGAATCATCAGCTCCCAGGTGCCCCAGACACTCACACACACACACACAAACACATTGGCGCTTAGCCACTTTCTTTTTTATACCCCATTGCTGAATACACATACAGCTACTAACATTAATTCCATAAGCATAAAAAACTTTAAGACTAAACTCATCACCCTCACGAAAGTAAATCACAATACTTTTTTTTTCTTTATCCCTGCAAACCTTAATATCTTATCATAGCTTAGCAGCAGTGGTGGGCAGTGCTAATCCAAAGGTTAGTTACTTAAGTTCTAAAGCGCTAGCGTTCATTAAAACTTAGCAGATAGTGATAACATGATCCACTTTTGGGTAATACTGCAAACTAGAGGCATACCACTTTACTTTTACAGCATTGCACATAACACCGCACCTTGGGGAGGTGATTTGTTGAAACAGACGTTTGGCTCATAGTGATAACTAAACAGTTGCTGTAGATTGCTATTTCTGCTGCTTCTTTGTCATTTTCTTATGTTTATGGTTGGGCTTCTGTAAAAAAAAGTGATATATTAGTAATTTTAAACTGTTTATTGGAGAACTGAAGCAATGCATTCTGGATACAGGACGGATTGGTGACGAAAACACTTAAGACAGGAAACCGTCTTCATCATAATAATGAATAATTTAAACTTCAGTTTACTCCAGTTACCACCCCTCCTCCATGAGTATGGTTCTACTCTGGTTCAGGTCTGTTTGGTTCTGCTCAGGTGTGTGTGTGTGTGTGTGTGTGTGTGTGTGTG